TGGTAATCGCCATGTAATATTCCTGAGCATCAGTACAAGAATATTACATGTTTTCTTCTCTCAGACACACCTCTTACTTAAGTGCAGAAAGTGAGAAAACAGGGTAATTTCTGTCGCTATCGGCGCTTACAAGGTTGAGACTGGGGGAGGCATCGTCAGGCACGAGTCTGGCGAACCAGGACGCGCTCAACAAGAAAGCGTGAGGTTAGTTACATCAGGGGTTTTATAGAAGGGACGTATGCTGTGCATAATTTACATGATGCATATATACAAGCGCGCACACACACACACACACACTAACACACACACACACACACATACACATAACAAATTATATTTCTGATTCACCTTCACTTAACCTCACCTTCTCGCCCCTACGGTTAACCTCAGTAAAGATCCCTCCCATTAAACTAAAACATTCATATATATATATATATATATATATATATATATATATATATATATATATATATATATATATAGTTCTTGTTTCGCGGTAAAATTCTTAATCGTCCTGTTATGTAAGTTTAGTATAATGATTTGTTAAATAAAGACCAGTCTAGAAGTCTGACGTGTTTTTTAGATAATCCCTTCCTAATGAGAAAGGAAGAAAAAAAATACATCACCTTCATTGATTTCTAAAATAAAACTTTTGATGAAAGCATTACTCTTCATGTTGCATTTCAGCACTAATGCAGAGGCGTGTTACATATATATATGTGTGTGCGCGCGCGCGTGTGTGTGTGTGTGCGTGTGTGTGTGTGTGTGTGTGTGTGTGTGTGTGTGTGTGTGTGTGTGGTGTGTGTGTGTGTGTGTGTGTGTGTGTGTGTGTCTGTGAGTGAGTGTGTGTGTGTGTGTGTGTGTGTGTGTGTGTGTGTGTGTGCGTGTGTGTGTGTGTATGTGTGTGTGTATGTGTATGTGTTTGTATATATATACATACATATATATGCATATACATATACATATATATAGACACACACACACACACACACACACACACACACACACATATACATATATATATATATATATATATATATATATATATATATATATATATATATATATACTGCCGCGATAGTCCAGTGGTTAGCGCACTGGACTCTTGTGTCTCGAGTTCAATTCCCCGTCGCGGCGGTCGTAAAAAATGCCTGCGCTCTGACTGCTTGTTCGAGCCCGAGAAAACGACACATCGTCTTGTGAAGTCAAACGCAGCTGTCGTAAGCGCGCCGAACCGTGGTTGATTAGGAAGGGCATCCAATCAGGCAAGGATGACTCTGCCATATAACCTCTCAATAGTGAATTGAGAGAGGCCTATGTCCTGCAGGGGAATGAATGGCTGCATAAAAAATATATGTATATATAAGTATATATATATATATATATATATATATATATATATATATATATATATATATATATATATATGTATGTATGTATATACCCTAATACCTTGCAAATTAATTTTTTTATCAAAACTGGGACAGAGAAAATTAAATATGGTGCTAAATGAGTACAGGTATCTTTCTTTTCCAGAATGTAGAAAAGCTCGGAATTCTAATTTTAAATATCTGAACAACGTTTAGGAACTGCATACAGTAATTCATAAATGCATGACGCACTACAAATTTGAATGTTTAAGAAATAATGTTGGTGTAATATCGATGATTTCCTACACTATTATACCATTTGCGAATATTGAAATGAGAAATACAAAACAGTATAAATATATGCTGAATTATTAGAATAAATGCATTACGAAATGGAAATAAAGTATATGTAACACTTTATCATGTGTCAATAAATGTTTACAATGAAGTGAAGTAGGCATGGCAGGACTAAATTAAAGAAATATTCTAAATAGATAGATAAATAGATACAAATGAGTCATGAGCTTCAACGAACATGATATACAGTATATTTCCACGTTTCACTGATTGTCTGCAGTAGGTTTACTAGCTTGAGAATGCTGACAGGAGAAAGGTTAAGTTTATGATGAATAAAAAATCATTGATACGATATGTATTTTTTCAAAACTCGAGATAACCTAATGGACATTCCGTTAATGCAACTTTTTTATGAAAGGAAAACTGGAATTAAGGATATCGGTCCTACAACTATCCTCAGTACTGAGTAGGTCATCCTTCTGTCTGTAAAACGGATCTCCCCGGCGGGGAATCGAACCCCGGTCTCCCGCGTGACAGGCGGGGATACTAACCACTATACTACCGAGGATGTAATAAAAAGTTCAATGCAAGATTTGCAAAAGACAAATTCCATGAAACATAGCATCATTCTTATTGAGTATGAAAGCATGCTATTGCACACACAAACTGCGCCTGTCTGAGATCTGTCATCGGCAGCAGCAGACACGATGTCTTTGGGTCTAACTGGTGCTCTTCATGGAACTGTCAGGGTAGTTCGCCCACTTTCAATGTAGTAAATCTTTGCACCTGACAGCACAAGAACTTTCCAGTGAGGATAACACTATTTTCCGATACACCTAGTCGGAATACCTAAATCTGTTGTAGATGACCAGGTCTTCAATCTGCATCTGCAAACGCCAGTAGTAGTACATGGTTTACGCACCTCCCCCCCTCTCACACACACACCCTCGAACAAATCGAGCGGGTCCGACTTGAATTCGAAGTTTATACCCAGTTAACATTTGCCATCAAGCAAGGGACAGCCCTCGAATCAGCCTCGATAAATTGCGTCCTATTGAATTCATCCATATATCTACTATATATCTGTATATAGAAAAAGGTTCATAGTAGAGGGGAAAGTAGTGGAACCATATCAATAGATTTGAATACAAAAAATATCACATAGTTTTTTAAGTCATGAAAAGAAGCATATTGGAGTGTTTTTGGATAGATCCATTTTGAATATATATATATATATATATATATATATATATATATATATATATATATATATATATATATTCAAAATGGATTCTATCCAAAAACACTCCAATATGCTTCTTTTCATGACAATATAAATATATATATATATATATATATATATATATATATATATATATATATATATATATACATATATATATATATGAATGCAAACACAGTAACGTGTATACAAAGATGAAAAGGAAACCCACAGTAAAACAATTTAATTTCATATTATTGCTGTTATATAAATATATGTGTGTGCGCGCGTGTGCGTTTCCTTGTGTGTGTGTGTGTGTGTGTGTGTGTGTGTGTGTGTGTGTGTGTGTGTGTGTGTGTGTGTGTGTGTGTGTGTGTGTGTGTGTGTGTGTATGTTTGTGTGTATGTTTGTGTGCGTAAGGAGAGAGAGTGAGGGTCGAGGAAAGAAAGAGAGAGGCACACAGGCTGCTTGCAGAACGAATAGAAGAACAAACAAGACACGGAAGCAATATAGCGAAAAGGCCGAAGACCTTTTCGCTATATTGCTATTGTAGGGCAATGTTCTACCCTCCGTTGGTCTATTTGCAGTTTGTTCAGCATGAATCCCACACACACACACCCGCACATGCACACGCACGCACTCACACACGCACGCACACACACACACACACACACACATACACACACATATATATGTGCGTAAATACATATACATATATAATATACATACACACATGTGTGTGTGATTTCAAATACAGCTGTACAAATCATTTTAAACATTCTGCAGCAAGATAGAAAACATGGTTACCAAGTCATACATAATACCGTTTGGTTAAAAGAGTTTTGCAGAGTTTTGTTTTTGTTTATGTATGACCTCTCTGCAGGTTCTTCATTATGCCAAAACATCCCTTTGCAAATCTCACCGAACGGCTCGCCTGCTGACTTTGTTCCTAAATTCCTCGCTATTTTTAAAGCAGATTCGTCACGTGGAGACCTGACGTCTTCAGGTTTTTGTCCGATCTGATCCGCCTGTTGATTAGATCACGTTAATTGCATGCATCGATATGAGGTAAGATAATGATGTTTTCCTTTAGTATATTAATTAGCTGATTTAAAGAGTATCTAGTGTTCACTTTACCTGAAACACCACTGCAGAGAAGGACGGATTTTTTTTCATAGTAGAACTTGCGGTAATTCATATATACAGAATATAATATAGAGTACCGTTTAGAGATAAAGACTAACTATATGGTGTATAAACCAAGAACATTGTTCGCTTAGTGACAAAGTCTAAAATCAACCAGAGAAACAAAATGTACAATATATATATATATATATATATATATATATATATATATATATATATATATATATATATATATATATATATATATATTATATATACATATATATACACGTGTGTGTGTGTTTGTGTGTGTGTGTGTGTTTGTATGTGAGTTTATATATCATATTTGTACGCGCGTGTTTGGGGAGAGAAAGTTGAAATATATATATATATACACACATACATATGTGCCTATAAATATACATATATATGTATATATATATGTAATACACACGCACGGACAAGCGCATGGACACACACACACACACACACACACACACACACACACACACACACACACACACACACACACACACACACACACACACATGCCCGCACATAAACATAAAAAGTATATATATAAATATGTGTGTGCATGTATGTATTTATGTGTATGTTTGTGTGTGTATGTATATATATGTGTGAGTGTGCGTATATATATACATACATTCAAACACACACACACACACATATATATGCATATATATACAGGTACATATATATATATATATATATATATATATATATATATATATATATACATTAACACATTTATGTGTCTGTGTACAATACTAATATATATGTATATATGTATATGTGTATATATGTATGTGTATGCATGTGTATGTGTGTGTGTGTGTGTGTGTGTGTAGATACATGCATATACACCAACAACAATAAAAAGGAATAGTAAACGTCGTGACCTACATTGTCTCTCTTGAGCTATATAAAGGTCTCAGGTGTGCGAACCAGTGTCACTTCTTGCGGCTTCCTCTAGAAGTACATAAAATCAATCAACATGAATATTGTAAGTCAGACTTTAGTTCAAGTGTCTGGACGGTTAGCAATAATAAGAAAAATAAATAAATAAAAAGAATACTTACTTGTAAATGTCAATGTTTCAGCTGGTCTTGTCCTTGCTGGTGGCTGTGGCTGTGGCTGAGAGACCGTCCCTCTCCTACAACGCCCCTGCGCCCCACACGTCCTCGCCCGTTCAACAGATCCCCATCATCCGCGACGAGCGAGTCCATCCTGCCGCTGACGGCTCTTACAGCTTTGACGTTGAGACTGGAGATGGCATCGTCAGGAGCGAGTCTGGCGGTCCAGGTGGTGCTCAACAGGGAACTGTGAGGTTAGCTGATTCCGTCATGCAGAGATTTTATAGAAAGGACATCTATTGTGTATATGTATGCAATCTCTCTCTCTCTCTCTGTATATATATATATCTATATATATATATATATATATATATATATATATATATATATATATATATATATATGTACGTATATATACATATATATATTTGTTTAGCAACATACACATACATGTGTGTGTGTGTGTGTGTATATATATATATATATATATATATATATATATATATATATATATATATATGTATATGTATATGTAAGTATATAAATAAATCACTATATACACATAGATATGGGTATGTGTGTAGTGTTTGCATGTCTGCTAAAACTTCTTAAATGCATAGATGAATATTAGATAATGCTTCTCTTTCAGCTTCACCTTCCCAGATGGCCAAGTCTTCGACCTTCAGTTCGTCGCTAACGCTAATGGTTACCAACCTCAGTCGCCCTTCCTGCCCGTCGCCCCAGCCTTCCCCCACCCAATCCCCGCCCACGCCCTCGAGCAGATCGAGCGTGGCCGACTCGAACTCGAAGCTCGCGCCCGCGGAGAGCAACGTCAGTCATCAAGCCAGGGACAAGCCAGCCCTTCTCGACATTACGGCCAACCTCAGTAAAGTGGCCTTTGCTGAACTGCAACATATTTTTGTTTCCTGTTCTACCTTCATGTCCTTCATCGCCCTGCTATGTAAGCTTGGCATGATTTGTTATATATTATGTGATATCTCATTCTAATTAAAAAAACAATATAGAAATCTGATAGTTCTCAAAATACCCCCCCCCCCCAAAAAAAAAAAAAAAAAAAATGTATATATATATATATACATATATGTGTGTGTGTGTGTGTAAATGTGGGCGTGTTTTCTGATATCAAATGTTTCACCAACGCAATATACCAAGTTAGAGTATTAATGCAAGATGCATTGAGAATTTTAGATTATGAAAATTGCTGAAATGGAACTACTGGTGTTATATAATTCTTGTAACATTACTATACTCTTTATTAATACTGATATGAGGAATAGAACAGAATGTGTATGTATGAGAATTAATTACAGGTAGTTTACGAAGTCGAAATGATTCTACTAACCTATTTCTCCAACATGTGATAAGGCTAATGAAAACAAATTATCATTATTGCTAATTCTCATTATGATCACTGCTATCATTTTACTGCCGAAAAAAAATATATGTGGCATTCTGTTTGGCATAATGATCCTCTAAATGATAAAAGTTAACATATTAAACTTTCTAGCGCAAGAAGGATGTTATCTTAAAATGAGAAACAGATAAGTAATAATATATATAACAGCATCAAAACTGCAATAATAGAAAAAAAACTTACTTGAGTCAAACGGTTCCATCATCCAGATATACAGTATATGCTTATATAATCAGCTATCCACTCATTACCTACGGAATGTTTTTAAATTTCTGAATTTTCATAGGAGAAAGTATATGCATTATTATTACACATATATTTCAACTTATGATGAAAATCTAAAATTGGTAGTGCATATATTTATCATCAATAAACATGAGGTAAACTAATAGGCACAGTTTTTTTTTAAGCAAAAAACACTGAATTCTAATTAGATAACGTAAATTATTTAAGTAAATCAAAGAAAGGGGTAAACGGACGAGACAGGCAGTCCTCAGAATGGGCATGGCACGTATGTACACGTCATGACCGTCGGCATTGGGTTAAGTGTTAGTTCTACTCATATCCTAAATAGTTATCCTTCTGGTTTGTATAAGGTATCTCCCCAGCGGGGCATTGAACCCCGGTTTCCCGCTTGACAGGTGGGGATATTAACCACTATACTACCGAGAATGTAATAATAGTTACATTTGTAAAAAACAACTTAGATCACTGGCATCAGCAATATCTAGTCATATACAGTAATTCAAAGCAACTGGTTCTGTCATAAAGGACCAAACGTCGCAAACGCCAACAATGCCAATCACATTTCTCCACCAATCCTCTTCCTCGCCTTCGAACAAATCGAGAACTTGCCTAATGCCTAAAGATGTCAAACAATTATTGTCGAGAATAGCATAACACATCTTCCATGACTTTTAATAGAAAAAAAATCATATATCCACAATATATATATATATATATATATATATATATATATATATATATATATATATACATATACATATGTGTGTGTGTGTGTGTGTTTGTAAGTAACTGAACTAAATGTGAATACACACATATATATATATATATATATATATATATATATATATATATATATATATATATATTGATGTATGTATAAGTATTCTTACACATATATATGATGTATATATATACATATATATGTATATATATATATATATATATATATATATATATATATATATATATATATATATATATATTAATGTATGTATAAGTATTCTTACACATATATGATGTATATATATACATATATATGTATATATATATATATATATATATATATATATATATATATATATATATATATATACATATGTATATATCAGATATAGTTACATAATTAATTCCAAACATACTGCATAATGACTAGGAACATATATATACCATAGTCTCCGTTATCATAACTTTGCAGTAGGATGTTCTTAAAATAAATATACACAATGCATGTAAGGCGACCGTGTTTTGCTTTTTTATGTCTTAATTACATGTTCTCAATTATAGCTATGGCATCCCTTCGTAAATCTTACTGAGCTGCTCATCATCCGACTTGTTTTTACGTTCTTCCACTGTACTACCGAGGCTATATAAAAAAAAGTAGAAAAATAATTTCAAAAATTAAATTACAATTTTTTATGAAACATTTTATCATTCTCATTTAGTACTGATGGATGCCACTGTATACACAAACTTGATATCTTCAGAGATTCTTCATGGACCTGTTGGGTATGCATACATATATGTATGTATTTCTGTGTTACATATATGTATATATTTATTTTATACACACATAAATGCACACATACAAACACACACATATATATAAATATATACACACATATATATGTGTACAATAAAAAGGAAATGTAAATGTCGTGACCTACATTGTCTCTCTGGGGGGTATATAAAGGTGCCTGGCCTGCGAATCATCGTCACTTCTTGCTACTTCCTCTAGAACTACATAAACCCTGTCAACATGAAAACAGTGAGTTATTCCTTCTAAGCACTATGACCTTTCTTCTAGCGCAATGTACAATTAGCAATATGTGTATAATTATGTATATATAAATATATATTACACACATATATGTGTGTGTTACACACACACACACACATATATATACACACGTTTTACAGGACCATATGTGTGTAAGTGTATAGACAGATGCATACATATATATAACTTCAATCATGTAAACGTTCCAGCTGGTCTTGTCCTTACTGGTGGCTGTGGCTTTGGCTGAGAGACCGTCCCTCTCCTACGACGCCCCTGCGCCCCACACGTCCTCGCCCGTTCAGCAGATCCCCATCATCCGCGACGAGCGAGTCCATCCTGCCGCTGACGGCTCTTACAGCTTTGACGTTGAGACTGGAGATGGCATCGTCAGGAGCGAGTCTGGCGGTCCAGGTGGTGCTCAACAGGGAACTGTGAGGTAAGCTGATTCCGTCATGCAAGGATTTTATAGAAAGGATATCCATTATATATATATATATATATATATATATATATATATATATATATATATATATATATATATATATATATATATATATATATATATTTGTATAACAATATATACATATGTGTGTATATATATACATATATATAAATATATAAATAAATATATATATACACACATGCGTATGTGAATAGATATGTGTATGTGTGTAGTGTTTGTATGTCTGCTAAAACTTCTTAAATGTATAAATGAATATTAGATAATGCTTCTCTTTCAGCTTCACCTTCCCAGATGGCCAAGTCTTCGACCTTCAGTTCGTCGCTAACGCTAATGGTTACCAACCTCAGTCGCCCTTCCTGCCCGTCGCCCCTGCCTTCCCCCACCCAATCCCCGCCCACGCCCTCGAGCAGATCGAGCGTGGTCGACTCGAACTCGAAGCTCGCGCCCGCGGAGAACAAGCTAATCCTTCTCGCCACTATGGTCAACCTCAATGAAGAGATTTCTAGTGAACTTCGACAGTACTATATTTGTTATATTGTTTCGCATAAATATAAATAAAACGTTAATGATACTTTCAAACATTCCACCTCAACTACTTATATCTTACTAGTTAAATATAAAACCATCACTGGGTAATAAAGAACTTTGTAGTGATTATTAAAGTACCTTTTGTCTATTGTAATTCGATATAACAGAAAACAATGTGCAGCTGGGTGACATTGTGTTGTGCTTAATATTCAGGGAACTCTAACTTTATCTAGATCAAACCCTAAACAGGATTTACGTCAGAATATAAAAATAATGGTTATATAAACTACTCTTGTTCAGTGAATAACAGGTGTTTTGAATACTTATGAAGATTTCGGTATATACGGAAATGACCATTTAGTTGCAGTTTTGGTGTAGTTTTCTTGAAAATAATGATACATGATGATTAATTACAGATACTTTACGAAATGCAAATAGCAGAATTGAAAAGCATATTATGTCAAATTATGATTATTGTAAATTCTCATTATCATCACTGATACCATTTTATTGCCGGGAACGCAAAAAAGTATGACATCCTATATGGTATAAGGTATTCTCTTAATGACGAAAGCAACATATAAAACTTTCTAGCTTAATATATATTCTCTTCGCAAAAAACAATGGTTATTAAATTTAAATAATAATATAGACCGATATAAGTTAAGATCTTGGTATCTATCTATAAAATAAGCAATCCACTGATTACCTACAAAATGCCTTGCAAATTTAGAATTTCCATGGGAGAAAGATATATTCTAGTATATGATGAAAACGTGAAATGAGTATATTTGTTAGCATACAAATCAAGATAAAATGATAAACACAGCTTTTTCAAGCAAAGAACTGAATTCTAATCAGGGTTAAGAGTGTCAGTCCTACTAATATCCTATATAAATGATAACCCATCCTTTTGGCTTGAAAAAGGAAACTCCCGGCGGGGAATCGAACCCCGGTGTCCCGCGTGACAGGCGGGGATACTAACCATTATACTACCGAGGACTGATTCCTCTGTGGCTGATTTGTAAATGATAATTTTGCAATAAACATCGTATCATCATCGTTGAAAACTGTTGCGCAAAAACCTGACCCGCCTCAGATTATCACTACCGGCAGGTACAGGTCTCGGGGTCTAGTCAGAATAGAACTGTGTTACTTCATTCATTTCTCAATTTATGTATGTACTATATAGCAGGATATACATTTTGTCAGTATGCAGACTTTGCTGTGAGAATAACTGTACATTCATGTAAATCTAATCATAAACAGTAATTCAATGTATGTATTACGTATGTATGTGTGTATGTGTGTGCGTGCGCGCGCTCGTTTGTATATGTGTAAATGTATATATCTATATATCCATATATGCATAATGTGTATATATATACACATTGTGTATATATATATATATATATGTATGTATCAACTACAACAATAAAAAGGAAATGTAAATGTCGCGACCTACATTGTCTCTCTGGGGGGTATATAAAGGTGTCAGGCCTGAGAACTATCGTCACTTGCAGTTTCCTCTAGAAGTATATAAACATGAAAACAGTGAGTTTTTCCTTCTAAGCACTATGGTTTTACTTCAAGTGCTATGGACTATTAGTACTATTATATATGTATATATATGTATGTGTGTGTGTGTGCCTAGATATATGCATACAAAAATTTATGATATCTACATTTACAAGTTAATGTTCCAGTTGGTCCTGTCCTTGCTGGTGGCTGTGGCTGTGGCTGAGGGACCGTTCATTTCCTACGACGCCCCTGCAGACAACACATCCTCGCCCATTCAGCAGATCCCCATCATCCGCGACGACCGAGTTCAACTTGGGGATGGCATTGTCAGGCATATATACGTATGTATTTATAAACATATATATAAATAAATCTCTCTCTATATATATACAAATGCATATGCATAATCAAATATATATATATGTATATACATGTATATGCATATGTTTATGTATATATATGTACATGCATGTGTATGTATATATATGTATATATACAATATATACATATATATACATATATATACAAATATATATACATATATATATACATATATATATACATATATAAATGTTAAAATAATGTCTCATAGAGGTATAAGAATTTATGATTCTGTTTCAGCTTCACCTTCCAAGATGGTCAAGTCTTCGAAATTCAGTTCGTCGCAAACGCTAATGGTTACCAACCTCAGCCGACCTTCCTGCCCGTCGTCCCTGCCTTGCCCTACCCAATCCCTGCCCACGCCCTCGAGCAGATCGAGCGTGGCCGACTTGAACTTGAAGCTCGTGCCCGCGAAGAATAACGTCAGTCATCAAGCCAGGGACAAGCCAACACTTCTCGTCACTACGGTCAATCTCAGTGAAGAGGTCTCTAGTGAACTTCGAATCTTCTATATTTATTGTATTGTTTCGCATAAATATAAAAAGTTAACGATACTTTTAAACATTCCACTGAAACTACGGATGTCTAACTAGTTTAAGCTAAAACCAACACATGGGTAAGAAGTTTGGACTAAATTATTATTGAAGAACCTTTCTTTGATCTGTTATTTGATATAACAGAACACTAACAGTGTTTAGCTGGATGACACTGCTGTGCTTAATATTTAAATATCTGTAACCTTACCTAAATCAAATCCTAAATAGGAATATAGATTATGAATATTATAGTTAAATGAATTACTCTTGGTCAGTGAATAGCAGCTTTTTAAAAATAATTATGAAGATCTCAGTCTATACGAAAATGACTATGTTGTTGTAGTTTGTGGAATGGTTTTACGATAGTCATGTAAACAATGCATGTGTATGAGGAATGATTACAGATTACGAAATGCAGAAAGCAAAATAGAAAACCTTATTATATC